GTTATGAGCATGTGTGACAAACTAAAAGAGAGAGAGAGAGAGGGAAAGTTCATTTTGCTTGGCCTCCAATATATTTCAACTTACCCAAAGCTGAACCAAGTTTTCGACATGGTACTCTCAAAAGTTTCTTACGACAACGATTACAGCGAGCACATTCCAAATGATAGTAACGCGTTTCAAGTTTGAATGCATCTTCGTCACCTGAGACAGGCCGAGCACATTTGTCACAAATGGGAATACGTCCTGCTTGATCACACTGAACAGGAACTATTTCGCCTAGAGTACTTTCCAAATGAGGAGCGTGCTCTTTGCCTTGATATGATCCTGTGATATGATGCGAACATGTCAAACATTGAAAACGTCCGTCCAACATATCGACAAAGTTATGCCCTAAATGAATCTATGTGCAACAAAATCAATTGAACGTCAAGACAATTTACCGTCAGGTACAACTGCGTTACATTTGCAGCAGCTAAAGATTAACAAAAAAGGGAGAATTCAATAGATTCGATTAAATGGTTTTACCGAAAACAACCACTGTGATAATGACGATCTTGATACCGTTTTGCTGCCGTACCTGACTGAATCTTTTGATTACAAACACAGCAACTAGAATAATGGAAAAGCAAAGAGGAAGATTTTTCGAATGTAACGAATGTATTAGGTCATTACGTTGGGGCTAGTGCATGGTTACATGTTTCACATTGAAATTGGTTGTTTGGTTTCGGATAAAATGGTTTGCCGGCTAATGTGTTTCCACAACTTGAACAGCAAAAACAATGAGGATGATAATATCTCTCCTGATATATTTGCATCGCATCTCTCGGTGTAAATGCTTGTTGGCATGTTGCACAAAATGTTTTTGTCAATGGGCGATTTGCAGTTGGACCTGTAGACATGTTCGTTTCTGTTTAGACGTGTAAAATTGTACAAAATGCTGGCAAAATACGACGCAATAGAATGAAACAGAGCACAAAAATGGCTATTATGTGTCTCTTTCGGCCTTTTCTTTCTTTTCTGATAAGATGTAGGCGATTTTCAGTCGATAGTACTTTTCTTTTTTTTCAGTATGTTCTTCTTTTCCTACAGAATAATAAGTACAACTGTATAACTGCTAATCTTCGTCGGCCGATTGGTGTTACTCTTGTTTATTCTTTCTCTTTACCCTAAAATAACTCGAGCTTTCTCTTTGGCCTGTTACGAAGAACGTAGTCGTATCGATGCGTAGGCTGCATGCCTGTAGAAATAATGATGATGAATCTACAACACAGGTCAAATGACAGTGTCAACGAAAGGATATGTTCTGATTCACCTTCCCTAGCCTATGATCGTTGATAGTCATTAACAGCGGCATTCTATTTGATTACCCTTACAAATGAACCGATAAATCGATATACTACATTATTGACTGAAAGTGTCTCTCGGGAGTTATTGTATAGAAAACAGCCTTCACAAGACAATAGTCTTCGGTGTTTGTCGTATGAAGATATTCAGAAATCTTTTTATATTGTACGTGAAATATTTTCATTCAATCACCACAGAAAAACTGTATTCTCATCCTCATCTTCAGCTCACAAGACAGAATAGACTACTGACTCCATCTATCATGATCAAAAAGACTATCGAAGACAGCTATAGAGGTATTGACATAGTTATATGTTAGAAGATTAAATCATCATGTTGGATGAACTTAATCATTGATGACAATATAGTTTGTCGGGTAGATAAAATGGTGTTATACAAAGTATATTCTCAAGATCATCGAATTCGATATTTTGCGCATCCGTGCTCCAGTGCGGTGTTGTTTCAACTATGGTGTCTTCTTTTCACATTTTTATCACCGTTGTTCACGAGTTATTTTACAAGCGGATTTTATTACAAAGAGCTAAGTTATACTGAGCAGCCCAATATATCTTCGCTTAAAAAACTTCAGTTGAGCATCGGTTCATCATCAGGTGTTGTTTTTTCTTCTACGGACCAACGTGAAAACAATTATTTTTCGTCAATTTATGCTCCAGGCACTCTTCGAACAGCTATTCCATGGGATATTGATGGTGATGGTATCATTGACCAACAGAACATAACTTACGAGGTCATTTTGACAAGTTCAGTTGCGGACAAAACTGTCAATATCTGGCCTATATTTTCATATAAATTGAACCAATACCCACAAATTTCAATGGATGCGCTTGGCCTCATATCATTAAAAGCGCCGCCGGGATTATTAAGCAATGCAATCGTTACTGTCTATGGGCAACTTCGCTTTCAACAACTACAGCCAATCTCGAATCATACAGACATATCATCACTTCAATCTCCAGTTATTGATTACGGATCATATTCCATCGTGCCATCATTTGATCAGGTCTTAAAAAATTACACATCTCGTCCATATTTCACAACATTCGATCAAGAGTATGTCAAATGGTCATCATCCAGCGTTGGCGGAACAAAATTAACAGTGAAAATAATTGTTGTTTCCAGTTTACAAACAATACGTTATGTACCAAGCTTTTGGAAAGAATTCCGTTGGCAATGGATTCAATGTGTTACTGCTTTGATCCCGTTTTTATACATAATGAACAAAGCGAAAGAATTTGTATTTAGTAATCAACTTGTCCGAACAATTGTTAAAAAATCTCCCTAATCTTTTCTTAAGAACGACTCTGTAATAAATGTTAGCGATCTTTTGTTCTTGCTTGCATACAAATATTATTATAATTGCTTGGAATCGATCGGCAACGACATCTAAACAGAAGGAAAGAACGAATGTACGTTTGTTGTCAATACCATAAGTCGCTCTTTGCATCCATTCAAAATTCAGCTAGTTAATTTGACTAAATGTGTGCAAATGTAAATAAATACATATTATTATCCGAGATGTTTTCTTATTTTCAACAATCTAACAAAGAAATGTCCATTCAAAGTACTACTACCAACTTTCCTACTTGATTAATGCAAAAGTCGTCATAGCTGATGCAATGCAATGCAATGCAATCGTATATAAACGACTAACAAGACTTGTATTGTCATATATTGTCAAAATGGTACTCGATATTGAAGTAATTCGTCAAAATCCACAACTAGTGCGTGATTCTCAAATAAAACGTTACAAAGGCACTGATAGTGTAGAGCGTTTCATTGCCCTCGACTCTCAATGGCGTACGATTCTTTATCAACTCACACAATGGCGAAGAGTGAAAAATCTTTGTGGACAAATAGTTGGCGAGAAGAAAAGAGCAAATGAAGGTGAAGGCGATTGTGAAGATCTTCCGAAAGATTTAGTAATCAATTTGGAAACCTTGACTACAGAATACATTCGAACACTGGCAATTAAACAAATCAAACGTTTAAGTGGATTTGTAGATTCACAAGTTGGTCAAGTTGGAGAACAGCTAATTCAAATTGAAAATGAACGTGATGGGATATTGTATGAAATCGGAAATCTGGTCCATGAATCTGTACCTGTTAGTGATGATGAAGTAAATGATAGTCTATCGAATATTTCATATGTAAATATCTGTTGTATATTTGTAGGCTAATAATATCACAGAACGAACTTTCGGAGATGTTGAAACGCGAAAACCATATTCTCATATTGATCTGATGTATCGCATTGATGGATATGATGGCGAACGAGGAGCGGCAATAGCCGGATCTCGAGGATATTTTATGAAGGTTTGAAAACAACTATCTATTGATATTCACAAATCGATTACTATAGGGACCTGCTGTCTTTCTCGAACAAGCCATTATCCAAGTCGCTTTGAAAACACTGAGTGATCGAGGATTCGAAGTGCTCTATACACCATTTTTCATGCGCAAAGAAATCATGCAGGAAGTTGCTCAATTAAGTCAATTCGACGAAGAACTTTACAAAGTAGTATGCAAAAGTGACAAGCCAGGTGAATCGAACGACGAAGAAAAATATTTGATCGCTACTTCGGAACAAACTATTGCTGCTTTTCATCGGTAAACATTGAAATGGAAATTATAGGCAAACATATTGAGTTTCGTCTGAGTAGGGATGAGTGGATGCCAACGGATAAATTGCCTCTTCGATATGGAGGTATTTCGACTTGTTTTCGACGAGAGGCTGGCGCTCAAGGTCGTGATACTCGTGGTATCTTTCGCGTGCATCAATTTGAGAAAGTGAGCTCGCTATTTGATTATTCGTTCTTATCTGTGAGAATGTTTTTTTTCTCTAGATTGAACAATTTTGTTTAACTGCTCCTGACGATGGTTCATCGTGGAAACTGTTTGATGAAATGATCGGCAATGCGGAAGAGTTCAATCAGAAACTCGGCATTCCGTATCGTGTAGTTAACATTGTTTCAGGTACACAAATCTAACAACTGAGAGACTATAATGAGGAGCATTATGTTGTTTAGGTGAACTGAATAATGCTGCAGCAAAGAAATTCGATTTGGAAGCATGGTTTCCTGGCTCGGGTAAATTTCGTGAACTTGTCTCGTGTTCAAATTGTCTTGACTATCAATCAAGACGTTTAAAAATCCGCTATGGTCAAGTGAAAAAAAGCAATGAAGCCGTAAATAAACAATGAAATTTTCTCATCAGAGATGCTCAGTGCGATTTGCTCGTTTAGGTCAAATACGTGCACATGTTAAATGCCACAATGTGCGCAACAACGCGCACGATATGTGCTATTCTTGAGAATTATCAAACTGATGATGGCATTCTTGTGCCTGAAGTTCTTAAACCCTACATGCCTAAAAGTATGTTCATTGAACTGTAAACCAAACTAGTACTAGATTTTATTTTGATTTGTTTAGAATATTCGGAGAAGATTCCATTTGTTAAAGATTTACCAACTGAACAACAGCAGAAGCCAACAACTACTGTCGAAAATAAATAACATTTTTCCGTTTTTTTTCTTGATGTTTCACCATTTATTTATCAATATAAAAATACAAAAAGAAAAGTGCATTTCACCATCTTGCGCGCTCATCATCTTTCTGTACTTTTTATAGAAAAAAGAAATGGTAACTCCGCTACGCTCACAAGTGTTAGCACATTATAAGAAATTAATTCGTACTGCACAGGGTGTTTTCCAAAATGATCCAGTACGAATTGCTAGTGAGTTACTTGGCCTGCGTATGGATTTCTATTTTATATCTATCTGCTGTAGGTATGACACAAGGCATACGAGAAAATTTCGCACATTATAAAAATGTTACCGACGAAAAAACCATCAAAGAAGTAAGTCAAATTGCACTGAAGTTACAACAAGCTATTTTCATTCGGTAGTTAATCCGTGCAGCAAAAGATACAGATAGTTTTCTTCGCCGACAAGTGTTACAAACTGTTCAAACTAGTGAAAATACTTATCGTACGTATCATCATCCTTATTCGAAGTATTGAAATTTTGAATCTATGTTTTCACTTTGATTAGGTTTAGTCGTCAAACCGTACATGTTATTTGATAATACTCGCATGATTCGGGAATGTGAAGATGATGAGAAAGCACATCATGAAGAAGAAGAAGAAGAAGAAAAAGCACGACAACAAGGACTATCGCCTTGCGAAATAGCAGCACAGAAGTTTAAATAACTTTTCATAAATAAATCTTCCTAGATGTTTAGCAATTCTACATGTAAATGATACATAGGTTTTCATCTGCGACAAACAATTCACTTAATTGACTTTATTAGCGAATGAGTTACTAGTAGGCACGTGCATACATCTTGCAGAAAGTGGCAGCATGATCTATTGTTCACTGCAGTCATAAAAACTATTGGAAAATGACTAAATTTCAATTTCAATGCATATCCTTTAGTAATATCAGAAGGTGTCTAGTATAAAAAGTGACTCACATATCTATCACATATGTTGAATAAACTAACCAAATCAATTGGCGTTTGCTTAACAGAGTTTATTTCGACAACTTCGTTTCGAAAAGCGATAGGTACTCGGATGTTTTTAATTTATTTGTTTTATACATAAAATGGCATTTGAAGATAAAATGTTCTTAGCGCATTTTCAGTTTCTCTTGGCTGAAGAATGCAAAAGATGAAAAAACACTTTCATAATGAATCAGTGAAGACTTTTTCTGAGTGGCAAGATGACAAAATTATAAGATAATAATCACCTTCAAAAATCTCCATGGCTCTAGTGATATCGATTCGACAGTGGACAGAAAAGATTCACAAACGAAAGGGCCGGATATACAACAGACCAGTTAACTGCATGATAAAATTTTATCAACGCAATCCGAAAAACCTGCCGCATCAGAAAAATGAGCCCGCGTTCACAGTACAGATATGACCATAAATTTCAAATGTCTTACGATGATAACATTTTTTCAAGTGACCAAATAAAGTTACACGGCTGCTGATTGACAGAGCTCAAAATCTTTGGGCCATTGCAATGGTTTCTTGGTTCTCTATCAATATCAGCATATATATGATTCTACATCTCCGAATTTTGATGATAAATTATCAAATGTATCAAGATACACATTTTGGCACGATGATTTGGGTATGCTTTTAGCCGAACAGAGTACTTCATGGTTTACAGATCGTGAAATATATACATTGCCTGTATTTAAAATAATAAATTTCTATTCTTTTAATCTAACAAAATTCTAAAGTTGATCCCAACAGCACTGTGTTTGGCCTCCTGATATAAGAGAACAAATAATCTGATTTCCTGTTATACGTAAATTTCACATGTTTCTTTTACAAAATAGTGTAGAATTTTTCATCTTTCAGGTACTTGGCTTTTCAAAAGGATTCGGCGAGAGCTCATACTTCTACTTAACTTAGTTTCATAAGTAGTTAGATTGTTGTTAATATCTGACTTGAAAAATTCTTATAAATAGTCAATTCAGAAAAGTCTTGTTGAATTTATTAGTAAGAAGTGACTATAAAGATATATAAAAAGATCAAATTTTCAAATAGCATTTGATAATCAGTCAAAGACTATGTGAAAACTTGTTTTCGAGTATATCTGAGTTACATAAAGTTAGCCAAGTTAAAAGCTGTCGTTTATTTACCGAATTTTTGACTAAGTTTATGCAGTAGAGCTCTTTGAATTCGAGGCCCATTACGTTTCCAATAAGTGTTCATATCCGTCGAGTCATCCTTTATTTGTCTTGTAACTTTAATATATCCAACAGTGATTTGCAATTCATCAACTGTAGAACTTTTTTCCAGTTGCATTTTTATTAAAGTAACTGTTATTTTATGAGCATCCGTATAACGAACTGATAGACTATTTCTTGTGCTATTATCAGCACAATATTCGTTGATGCCACGTTCTCCATTAGCGTTGGCTGTCATAATATTCTCAGTGCCTTTTGATGACGAATTATTTTCATTGGCAAGTTCTTCGTATGAGGGTGAGGGCGACATTCGATCAGTTTTTTGTTTCTCAACCCTGTTAGCCATAATTAATTGTTTAACTTGTTTTCTCATATCATCATCTAAATCCGAAAACTTTTGGTTAACAAATGATTCGATATTTTCTATTTGAAGATCATTTGGCAATGTTGTTGTTACACATCTTTCATTATAAGAGTCTTGTTTAATATCTTCAGGATAATTTTCGAAGAACCATGTATAATCAGCCGGTTCATTTGAGTCCTTCTTCGGTTTGTCTGACGGTTGATTCTTTGATGTGAGCTGACTGCTGCGAGAACCCATTTGATTCAAATTTGATATAAATCACTGGAGTTTTTCAAGCAAGCATCGTTTATATATTTCTTGTATAAGTGGGACGAGTCGCGTATAGAATAAAATATATCTGTCATAAATAAGATAACATCAATGCTAACGAATATTCAAGTTGTTAATTATCAAATCTACGAAATAGCTTTTATTTACACACGAGTGCTATCATCATTTTATCTTACGAAATATGAAATTCTTCCCACTAAAATACAAATCGATCCGCATATACTTTCATTATCTTCTTATTCAAGCATCTCTGTCATAAATTTGAGCGAATTCTGTTTTTTATCTGGGATTCTCCAAACAAATGAGTACATACTTTTCTATGCATATTAATGTTATTTAACGACGTCTTCTACCACTTGAAGAAAAGTTTCACAGATGGGTTCCTCAGTATCTAAATCTCTTCCTGCTGCTGAACTTCTTCCTGCTTCTAAATCTTATTTGGTAGTCAAAGCGAATCAATTCATAGAACAAAAGCAAGATTATGACTGGTTCATGGCCAGCAAAGGTGGGACACACGGAAAAGATGACTTTCAACGCCGAGTTGTACTCACTACTTTTCCAAGCAACGTAACTCAAGCAGCTTTCGAAGACTATGTTGAGAAAAAATTTTCTGATCAAGAAGAAAAAATGAAAAATAATATCAAAGCTTTATTCCACGCCAATTTGGATTCCGACACGGACAAACGTATTACATTCGATTATGGAACTGATGGTCAAATATCAGCTGTCTTAACACAAATTTTATTTGAAAGACACCCTGAAAGCGGAGAAATTAAAGTCAGCGTTGGGTATGCTACTTGCATACGGCAAGTAAAAGCCGGTTCGAATTTACAGTATAGTTACTGGCAAACTGATGCCGACAGAGTTTCGAGAGCTTTGCAGTATGTATATGGTGTCGAACTCAAACAAGAATTAATCCCGTTTTTATAATCAATTTTGTAATTTACATTTAAACTAGAAGAACCCACGAGTGTTGTCTATGCTACTATGAATGCAGAAGTGATTATATCCAACAGAACAGCAGTATTTTATTTTACTTGTGATGGAAATTTACTTTTTTTTTCCTTTAAAATCTTTTACAATATACATTTATTTACCATAAATAGTCAATACTTCTTTTCGATCAGAACAATACCATGATATTACATTTCTACTAACTTTAAAAAAAACATTTTACTTTTTTTACTACGAGATCCGCCTACTAACTTTACGCGAATACATCTTAGCGATCGAAAAACGTTTTCTAGAAGCTTCGCACGTTGGATAAGAATAAGAGATGTGTGCAAGCATATGTTTGAAATTCAATTGCTACCAGATTTATTTTTTTGAATTTGAATCTATTAATAGTGTTGATCTCACTGAGATTCGTTCTTGTTACATATCTTCATGCAAACATTATCTATACTCAAAGTATAATAGTTATTTATAGCGGAATTGTACTGGTTAATTCTTTGAGTCAAAGATGCAAATTGTTGTTTTCGTCGAGAAATACTACAAACCACGAAAAATCACAATTTCCTCGCATTATTTATTATTAGGTTCAAACCATATGTTATTATATGAAAGTAATGAAAAATACGACAGCAAGCATTAGTATTGTGTCAATTTGCGACACTGGCTACGAAGCAAGTTTAGAGATAGATCTATATGAAATACAAACTAATAACTTTGCAAAGACTAATTCGGAAAGAGTTACATAACTCAAGCGTGTTAAGTACATGGGCTCGACCCTGTCGAATGTTGATTACAAATAACATTGATCGATAAGCAAATCAATGTAAAGAGTAGCACTTTGTCAACCTGTCACTCAAATATCGGAGCGAATATTTCGTTTTCTTTCTATGATCTTGAACAACAACTCGCTCTCGTATAACTCACTTTGACGTATATGATCTGTATATGTTAAATATGAAGTAGTCTAAATCAAGATGGATTATTATAAAGAGTCTTGATATGAAAGCTTATATGCAGATGTGGATTGTCTTATTAGTAAAATCCGACTAAACATGATGGATCAATCGAACATGTTGTCGAGAATTATCTACAGCAAGCATCAAAACTTCCTTCCACTTTCCTCTGTTTTTCAAACTGTGTGTATGTGCTCAATGATCGATCAATCTACAGTGTTGTACATCCCTCGAGATTATAGCTTTTATTACAAACATTATCTATCCGATGAGAGATACGATTATAGTCGATGATGATGGTGGTACACATCATTTGTCAATCATAGAAAATGATTGAGATTTCTTTCTTTTTTCATGTTATAATTAAAAGTATTTTATGTTCGAAAAGTTTCTTTTGATTTATAGCATGTAAATGAGTAACAATCTTGTCTATCTATTCGATATATATATATATAGGTCGATAATTGAAACAGTTCTATGAAGACAAAGTGTACTCGAAGGTTAGTTTAATATAAAAAAAACGAAATAATGATTTTGTTGCCACACTTAATATTACCTTTTATTTCCTGTTCCATTCATAAAATTAATCAATGACACAGATGCCCTCGAGGAGATCAATGCTATATTTATTTTTTCTTCTGTCACACCTTCCTTGTGTCTTATTGTCAACGAGCACCCTTGATGTGAACGTTGCTCGTCCGATTGCCGACGCCATAAATAGTGACTGTATACATTGTCCGTTGCAAAATCAATTGATTTCAATTCTTATCTTTATTACACTCATATTCTTCTCTACTCCACCCTCCACTGCCGACCACAAATGAACAATTTCAAAGCTACTAGACAAAAGAACGTTCTTGAGACACGTCAAAGTCACTTCTTCTCTTTTTTTTCCCTCGAAATACCCAACAGGAATCTAGCAGCGATCGTCCACACTGGTAAGTTGAGTATTTTTCATAGAAATTGTCAGATGTTTTAGTACATCCGAAAGAAGTAAATGTTTATCTTTTCATGCGTATGTAGTGAAGTGATTGGTACAAGTCGATGCTGATGATGAAAAACAAAAATGATGTAACACTTGTAGGATGTTTAGTAATCAATCGCGTCGATTTCTATTCGAATCTAATTCAGCATGTGATCGAGATGTAGTGAAGCGCAAATGACTGAATATGATCTTAACCGTTCTAGATAACCGCCAATTAGTGGATAAGCTGTTACATCGTGAGATATTATTATGCAAAAGATCGCGTTGTCAGTCGGCAGATTTTGTTTGATCATAATCAACTGATATTAGATCAGACTTTTTCAATGGGTAGAAAAATATAAACACTTTTGATTTCACATTTGTTCGATGATCTATTCACATCAACAATGGCAAGAGTAGAAATAGTAATGTGTATAGGAAGATCTGCATGAAGCGAAAACCTTCGTATTTGTTGTGTTTACGCGTACTATAAACGTTGGTAGATGCTATTTGACAGGTTTCCTGGAGGAGAGATAAGAGAGAAAGAGAGAACGATAGTTGTTCACTCATACACTTGAGGTTAAATATGATATCGACAACATCTTATCCTGCAGTGAGATGAACGAAAACCCACAAGAGAATTTCAATATTACACCTAGATAATCCATATATTTCTTTTCTCGCTCAACATAAATATTCTTTGAAGATTCTCGAGAGAACACTCGATCATTGCATTAAGAAATTATTTGCTGTCATGTCTTTGGAAAAAGAAATTTACTAGACTGGTCAACATCTATTAATAATTCAGCTTTTCACAGTCAAAGAACGTTCATCACTTTCTTCTCGTTACTCTATACTCATCTTATTGATTACGTTGACACGCTGCAATGCTGCTCACTGGTCAGTTAATAGCTACTTTCACCAATTTCATTATGTATATGTATAGGCTCTATTTTTCTTCAAGCTAATATAAAATATTAGAGGTTCTTTTATCATTATTATTCTTATTATTTGCTCGTTTTGAACACAATTAGTTGTATTTCTTTGCTGTATAAATAATAACATCACAGGCAACAAATCACTGTGTGCAAAGGTCATTGTTGGTCAATAATAATCGCTCGGTCGTGTGCGTGTATATTACGCAAAGAAATAAGGATGATAAATATCATGATTTAGTGCTCGGTTTCACACTTAAATGATGTGATCATTTAATAGGAAGAAGAGCTAGTGTTCTTTTTTTCATCGCGTTCAGCATTTGTTCGTCTTCAGCTTGCAGATAATGATTAGACCAGTGTTATATCATAATTCGATACTTAATTTTAAGTTACAAAAGACAAACGCAGAGCTCGGTAGTTTGAGTATGAGTTTCTCTTCCGCTGCCGTGTCGAATTCTTCTGGCTTAGACATGAGAACACCACAGGAGATCGACAACTATCCATTGCATCATTATATATGAGAGAGATATCTGGCCGACGTGATGTTATTAACCTAGACATAAGTTAGATTCGTGTTGTCGACTTCTCCCTCTCTTTCTCTAACTTTGATCGATTAACGGTAATCACTTTGACGTTACCATGTTTTCTCTTTCCTTGCTCTTTTAGTCTCTATTAGATTATGATGCTCTTCACTCATCACCGTTTCTATTGATGACGCTTGTCTTAGACGCTTCTTATTCTCGTCCTCATCGTCTTCTTGCCGTTCATATTTTTTCATTATATCTGTATTATAAGATAGAACGATGAAGAAGTCTCCTTTTCCTTCTTTCTCACACTTAACAGGAAATGAGAATTTGTGCGTATTCTATGTACTGGACAGAGGAGAGAAAGCGAGAAAAGAAGAATTCATTAAAATCATGCTTCTCTTTTTTTTTCATATACGCTTAGAGGATGTCGTAGAGTCGGTGTGAGAAGAACAGAGGAATGTCAGAAGTATGATAGTGAACATATGATGGTTGAGAAAAGGAAAAAAGCAACGGATATCTGGTCAAATGTATTTGCAGTAACGATGGATGAACTCTACTACTTTGGGCGGCGTGTCTGATCATCATCGTCATCATCATTATTGTTTCTCAGATTATTCGACCGTCTTCAATACATAAGGAAAGAAATCATAAAGGTGAGACACGTGTGATTGTTACTTCTTTTTCTCATGAGGTCGATTGTAAAGTAGGAAGTTGACATTGATTAAGTCGCATGAACATTACACACACACACACACACATATATATATATTTGATTTGAAAGCATCAATCACTAGGAAGAGAATTGCACATATGTATGAGTGTTTGATGATAGACAAAACTCAATGAAATCACACCCAAGAAGAAAAGTGAAAAGGCGTATGTATATATCTTGATATGTTTTGATAAGAGGTAAAGTGAACTTAGTTGAAAAGAAAGAGAAATCTTTATTCAATTCAATGTCGAAGGTTACGTACGTGATCGGAGCGAGTGCGTCATTGACAAGTGCTACTGGTAGTTAGGAATAAAGAAGGAAATGACGAGGTAGTAAAAAAAAGAAAGAGAGAGAGAAGCAGAAAAAATGAATATTGACCACTTAGCCTTGCTTGACTGATAGCCGACACAGTCGAGTAGTAAACAAGAGACTCTCGAAAAGAAAATGATGACCATTAGAGATGCGCT